ACGCATGTTGAATACGATTGAGCATCATAGGACAAAATCATTTGGTTTTTATGTTTTCTTTCTTTTTCAAACTTTGTGAAATGTTCTCCATTTTGCGGTGAATGCATTACAGTCATACTTACAGGAATGTGCGTAATTTCTAAACGTCAAACTAAAGAAGAAAGGCCTTTTGTGTTAAATAAGCCATTTGAAAACTTAAAGGTGTTGTGTAATTTATATTCAAAGTACATTTTATTGTATAGTATCTTTTCGTGTATACTAATTTGTGAATTGTTGCAATGAATTTTAAATAGCGTTGAACTAGACACAGTATACTCCAACTGTTTCATATTATACGTACTTTTTATATAATTATATAATAATTATATATAATTTTATACATACATTTAAGAAACACAATTTTATTTATCTAACAGCAATTCTTTTGACATTATAAATTATAAATAGTTCACTATTTTTGACAATTATGAAACGTCTGGTTCTAATTTACTATTTTAAACTAAGTCAGCATTCGGGCCAAACTGAATCGAATGGCTTTGACTCTTCTTTAAAATTGAGAATGGAAATGGGGAATATGTCAAAAAGACAACAACCCGACCAAAGAGCAGCAAACAGCCGAAGGCCACCAATGGGTCTCCAACACAGCGAGAAAATCACGAACCCGGAGGCGGGTTTCAGCTGGCCCCTAAATAAAAATGTGTACTAGTTCAGTGAAAATGGTCGTCACACTAAACTCCAAAACATATAAATGAACTAAAATTAAAAAAATCATATAAGACAAACAAAGGTCAGAGGCTCCTGACTTGGGACATGAGCAAATATGCGGCGGGGTTAAACATGTTTTGTGAGATCTCAACCCTTCCCCTATACCTCTAGCCAATGTAGAATGCACAAACACACAGCAATACGCACAGTAAAACTGTGTATGCCTGTTTTATAATACAGTTCCTTTATCCACCCCAGTTGCTCTTGACACTCCATATCAAGATCAATTTAAAACAGCAAAAGCTCTACGCTTATCTTCAACATTTACAAACACATTTGTTCTTGTCTCTATCATTTGATTTATAATCTGCTACATGTGTAACATCTACAAATGTCTTTGTGTTTGTTCTGTGTTATTGGGTTGCAGTCTAATTGTCCTATACGTCATCCCTTCTTGTATTCCTAATACATGTGGCTTTGTATTTAATATGACAATGAGAGAGACCCAACAAAACAAATATAGCTGACTATGCGGTATGGGTTTTGCTTATTGTTGAAAGCCGTACGGTGAGCTATAGTTGGTAACTTCTATGTCAAATGGTCTCTGGTGGAGAGTTGTCTCATTGGCAATCATACCACATCTTCTTTTTTTATAAATAACAAAAATAGAGGCTGATTCAGGGGGCGTATACAGCAAGATTATTATTTTTGAATTTTTGAATCGGTATGCAACACAATTCTTTTGCTGTCCTTGTACAATAATATGGTTAGTGGTAAATGGGTGTCATCAAAGTTGCATTTGTAAATTGTGTGGGAAGTAATGAATGTTCAACATGTTAAACTGTAGTAATAAACATTAAAAAACAAATGTAAGAATAGTTTTTATGACAGCGGACTGATAAACAAATTAAGGCATGCTTACTAAGGAAAACAACGAGTGGGCTACACAATATTACGAGAAGTTCAAAATGAACAAAGTATTTTGATCATCATTGAAAAATATATCTATGAGGGTCTAGATTAGAGGGGTCTTCATTTCTCTATTCTTGAGTTGTTTTGTCCATTTTTCTATTCTTTTTTTATGCACTCCATTTTTATCTATTCTTTATTTATTTTGACCATTTTTCCAATTATTCTCCATTCTATAGGCCCCATTCGGCCCTCATCGATGTAATTATCGATTTTAACAACTATCAATTAATGAAATTGAGAATGCAAAATGGGAAAGTGTCAAAGAGACAACAACCCGACCAAAGAGCAGAAAACAGCCCAAGGCCACCAATGGGTCTTCAACACAGCGAAAACATCCCGCACCCGGAGGCGGGCTTCAGCTGGCCCCTAAACAAGAATGTGTACTAGTTCAGCGAAAATGGACGTCACACTAAACTCCGAAACATATAAATGAACCAAACTTAAAAAAAAACATACAAGACTAACAAAGGCCAGAGGCTCCTAACTTTGGACAGGCGCAAAAATGCGGCGGGGTTAAACATTGTTTGTGAGATCTCAATCCTCCCCCTATAACTCTAGCCAATGTAGAATAAACAAACACACAGCAATGCGCACAATAAAACTCAGTTTAAAAGAAGTCAAAGTCCGATGTCAGAAAAGGTAACTGAAGAAACTAAGCAAAATGACAATGATACATAAATTATCAAAGGACTACTAGCAGTTACTGACATACCAGCTCCAGACCTCAATCAAACTGATTGAAAGATTATGTCTTCATCATTTGAAAATCAAGCACAATCACTCCCGTTATGGGGTTTAGCATTATACCATCATAAAATATATGAGAAGAACATAACCCGTATCATGCCAAAAACTGGTTTTAGAATAAATGTGTTTATTTCCGATGCAAAGACCCTATGAGTGAATCAATATTAATTTCAAAAATGCCATCTTTAATAACCTGACAATATTATCGTAACTATATCCCTTCTGGATAAGTCTGTTTAAAGGTTTGGTTAGCTTTTGAGGTGAATGACGAAGTTTTTGTGCTTTGTGTAGCATATTACCATAAAAGATTGGATGTGAAATACCTGAACGTATAAGATGTCTGCACGTTGATTTATATTTACGAATGATGTCCTTGTACCGATTTTATTTAACACACATGAAAATGAAAGTTAGTACATGTATTGTGCTTTTTTCATATTTTTGTCGCATTTCACAAAAAGATTGGTGTCCTTATATTCCAACAATCTATGACAAGGGAAACTTTCTTTCCAATTTCAAATACATATCAAGCCTCAAGTTTTATTGCGTAATTCCGAGAAAAAAAAATGTAACTGCTGTTTTTACTTTTTTTTTAAATTAAATGTTAATGTATATTAGATTTAATCATTCAGAACACCTTTTGAAATGGTACTTTAAATTATATAATCAAAAAATTATTCTTCGTATAATTAAAAATTAAATTTTTTTTTTAAATGTATTGAACAAACAACACATTTAGAAATTCAGTTTGAAATTAATTTAAAATCTTAATACATTTAAGAATTAACTGTTGAATACTTTTAACATTTCTTGTAAATCTTAAAGAGGACAGAAGATGAAAATGGATAAGCAGAAACCATACTCCGAAGAAAAACCATGGACAGAATAATTAAAAGAAAAGAAAAGACAAACAAGAGTCCACAAAACACTAAATATAACGCTAAACAGAAAACTAAAAAATGGAACAACAGGAAAACAACCATAAAAACCGAGAATGGCTCCATGTCATCCTGAAGGGTGCGTAAATCCTTCTCCACTAGTGGTAACCGCCATGTTTTTCATAGAAAAAACAAAACTCGGTGTTCATTTAGATCCGTTGATGTCACATCGAAGGAGAGAAGACTGGATAGTGGCATCGACAAATGAAAACATATTCGTGATAATCTTTAACACAAATACTCAAAATTGATAATCCAAAGGAAGATGGTGTCCGTATTAGTGTCGAAAGGATGACTTAAACCATTAGGATGAAGTTAAATCCAGAAAAGCTCTTCGGACGCAAGAAATTTATAACGTGTTCCTTTTATTTTTTTAGGACCTTTTGGTTCCAATATTTTTTCATTTGTAAATTAGAATGAAATAAAGAAGAAGAACTTCAAAATAAGTTTTCAGCTATAAAATAACATTGAATGTACGTAGCTTAAATTAGATTAACAAATTCAGTACTTTATAGCCAGGATCGTTCTTTATCATTTGCAATATTAACAAAAGGTGGAATATATCAAAGGGACAATAAAAGATTAACACGTTTAACCTCTAACTGGGTACAGACTGCTTACGTCAATATGAAGCAATAAATGCACATCGGGTTTTTAATACCCATACTGTATTATATATACAATATTCCTTATCTTCCGTATTTAATATATTCTCCCGTTCGGGACGTGTTCTCAATTCTATGTCTTAGTCTAGCCAATAGAAACTAAGCCACATCATATGACAACCAATCAGAACCAATATTTGTTAAGGTATAATTCCAAGATGGCGTGGATATTGATAGAAACTAATTGCTTCGAACAGAGATGCGAAGCAATAAGTCGATAAAAAACACACAACCACAACCAAAAAATAAAAACGACAATATCGAAAACCATAGTTAACACACTACTCTACAGGAAAAAAAGACAGAAGGTTGCTATAATTAAACGATGAATCGAGTTAAATGTGTGGTTATTTTCAATTGGTCACGTAGAATTGATGTCGACAGAAAATCTGTAATCTATTGAAGATTAAATTGATCTGAATTGAGAATGAGGGGCAAAATAAAAACTCTAGTGCTAATATGTAATCTGATAATGAATGTTAAATCTTGAAAGAAGAGAGGTGGATGGAAAGAGAGCTATACAGGTAAAATTAATGCTTTGGGTAACAAAATTTCAACAAATTCCTTGCATGTATTTATTTAGGTGTTCCGGAAGGTATAAAGTATTTTACCTCAAATTCGACATCATTCGAATTAATGTTAACAGGCGTCACATGAAACATAAAAATGAATGCTGTTGATATGATCCTAAAGTTGTTTTAAGTTATTAAATTGCGTGTTTTAAAGTGACATCTGGGATTTAAACATCATCTGTTGTTGTGTGTTTGAGTTTTTTCTTTGTAAAAAGTACTTTAATGTTTTGTTAGGAACATGTTTGGTAAACATCCTTTTTCGGAAATCATATAGCACTCAAAAAATTTCTTTTCAACCATCTTACGTATTATATTTACTCTCAGTATCTTTGATGAGTTTTTAGATCATAAAAACCGATATTACATTTAAAAGATGCTAAATTTAAACTAAAAATATTTTACCTTATAATAAATCTTCTGAAATCTAAACAAATCTTGATATTAAAATATATATTTTAAATTCAGACATATATAAAATATTTTGTTAATATCAAATTTTATGACATAAACTTTAAAATATTCTTTACTATTTGAATTTCAAACTGCTGTAAACGTATTAGATTTCTACATGCAGCCGAGTGAAATTCATTAGGCAAGTATTACTAAATGTTTCGTTCAAGGGTCGGGAATATTATATACATGAATAAGATATTACATTCATAAAAGAAAAAGCTATATCAGTTGATATTATTAGTGACCACGTGATAATTCAAGTTTGATGTAAGAACGTCCATTTATATGCAATTTTATGCGACTGTCATACAAGTGAGAGGTTTATCTAGCTTTAAAATCAGGTCTTATCCACCATTTTCTACATAAGGAAATGCCTGTACCAAGTCAGGAATATATGACAGTTGTTTTCCATTCGTTTGATGTGCTTGAGTTTTTGATTTTGCCAATTGTTAAAGGTCTTTCCGTTTTGAATTTTCCTTGGAGTTCGGTATGTTTGTTTTACTTTTTATGCGATTCAGATGTTTTGGGTATTATACACCCTTTACTTTCAAATATTCGGCTTGAGCGTTCCTGATGAAGGTTAATCCAGAAATATGCTTCGGACGCATGAAATTTATATTAAAGTGTTGTTTTCATTTTTTTCTCGAAGTCTTCTTCAGCCCGGTTGTAGTAACATGCGCATTCATCGCAATCAACGATACAGGTGAGACGTGCTACTGATAAGTTACTGTCGCGTACCATGGACGACGTAAACACTGTTTCGGAGGATGAAGTATATATCTAGTTTAAGTATAACTTTCCATTTTCAGATATCATGATTACTCAATTAAAACCGCATCGGTGGTTTCGTGGTAATGTACTCGCAAGAAGGTCGTGGGTTTGATTCCTTGCCTTGTTACTTATTCAAACAAGACTTTCGAAATAGTGATTGATTTTTTTTCTGTTAAACATGTGGTATTGAGGAATAAACCCGAGCACTGGCCGGCTCGATGTCAGGATAATGTATCCTCCAAGCTTGTAATCTCTTCCTTCGGATCTTCCGAATTCCTACAGTGTAAGTTAGCTTGTTGAAAGCTCGAATGAACGATTTCTCATTGTCTTAACAGAAAAGTGTCGTGCACCTGTAACTCATTGATTTACGTGACTTAATATAACATCCTTCTTCCTGTAGGTACACGAAACAGTTTCCCAGATTAATTTGCAGTTCTCATGAGTACAAACTGGTACAACATTTTGTTTAGGTAGAATCATCGAACTAAGCAATACTATACCTCTTGGGATATGTAAAACTTTCAAAACAAATCTGATATAGCTGGCGTGGTTCTGCATTACGAGTGAAAACTGTGCAACAGTCCTATTTGATATCGTTTTCTTTCATAGGATTTTTTAAAATCCTACAAGATGTTAAGAAATCCTATATTATAAAGTCATAATCCGGTAGGATATATTTTTCTTTTTTTTATTTTATAAAATGCGATAGACTTCCGTGTGATTATATTACATACGCGGTGGTCTTTATACGAATTTTGATTTATCTATGATGACTGTATTTAAATGCAGCTGTATTATTTATAATAGGTCGACATTATAGTTAAAGGTTATATTTGTATGACGTCACTGACATATTGTATTAGTACCTAAAAAAAAAAAAGGTGCAGAGGTTCGCATATTGTAATGGTTTCCACACATGATTACCAATGATCAATAATGGTATTGAGAGTTTTAAATCTTTATGTAGGTCTATATCGGGTTTACAAAATAGAGAATAAAGGTCAAAAAGTGCAGACAAAAGGGTAAAAAATTAAAGAAGAGACAAAATAGGCCAAAAAATAAAGAATAGAGAATAATGGGTTGCTAAAATTAAAAAATAGAGAATTATAATCAACATAAATAAAAACTAAAAAAAACATGTTCAAAAATGATAGAGAATAAAGAAATCAATGACCCCCATCCGGACCCTGCTTTATAACTTTGACAAGGCTGGGCGCCTTCAATTAATAGCTAGTTATTTAGGAATATGCTTTTCTGCAAAATAAATTACCGAAACTGATGGTTTTCGTTATCAAATAATTAAAAGATAACCAAATTATGAATCTATCAAATTAACATAAACAAATATTTTAGCAGTGTTCTATTTCAGATAACCTGTCCTCAAAAGAGGCTTTGGTTTTGCTGTCACTGACGCCATGTCCGATCAGGTTCGATTTCCGCAATAAGAAAGTAAATTAACTTATTTAAAAAGAACTACCTAAGTCATAGAAAAAAGCTGTTTGTCAAATAAATGTATAGGCGAATTACAATAAGTAGTAAAAGATGTCAACCTCAATCAGACGTATACCCAGTTGAAATTAAACAAAAGAAATGTTTTAAAAGTTCAACAAAGGTACATAATTTAGGATTTTATGCATCTTATATACGTGTTTTACTTAAATTATAGTATGGGGCTTCGAGATATTTGAAAACTTTTAAATTAAAGACAAATTTTCATAAAACAGTCAATTGTGGTAGACCTGTGCAAATACAAGTGGATCTTTTTTGTGCATAAGCAAAAATTCCGCTGGAAAAAAAACACAGGAAAAAAAAAAGGAAAAAACTAAATTAACTAAATAAAGCAAAAATATTTAAAATATATAATCTCGCTTCAGATTCTATATTTTGATATATTTAGGCTACATGTTGATTTATTAACATTGAAAATTCACAGTACTAAAAATGAAATATATAGGTCAAGTGAAATACCTGTCTAATGAGATATAACAACAGAGTAGGTGTGTTCGAATTACACATTTTTACTAGACTACTTGACGGCAGACTTTACAAGTGGATCTTAAAAATGCATAACTTCAAAAAAACTTCATTTTTGTGTGTTTTATCTAGGGTTGTTAGTCTTCGACCTCTGAAAAATTTTAGTCTGCCCTTCCATTAAATATTTAATTAGATTTTTTTTTTAAATGTTTTTGAATTTTCGAAAAATCCACCCGACAACCGTTCAACATTTTTTGCAACCTTTTAATATTACAAAAAGAAGCATTTAATTCTTGTGATTACATTTGTAAGCTACAATAATGAGGGTGCAAGTTAAATCAAGCCTTTCGTTCATGTTTTGTGCATGCGTATTGTTTTAGTTTTGTCATTGAAAGCGCGCGCAGTCATAGGTCTCGGAAATAGAATAGAAGTTTTTGAATGCCTCAGTCAATCAAAATTCAGAATAGAAGAAACGTCTATTTAGTGTAATTATAAACATTTGGTAGCATTGGCTTTTTAAAAATTTTAAGTCATTATTATTATCCTCCAATTTAAAAAAAAATAGTTGAATATGTTTTATTATCTTGAATGTTTTACTATAAAACGAAAATTAAGTGTTCATGGCCTTGACTTCATTGTAATATAAAATACCTTATCTCATCACAATCTTCAGAAATATACTGCTTTTGAAGTATTGTCTTCCCGTACTCTAATTCGCCGATAGTTTTTTTTTTTTTGTATGCAGCCATATTAACCACGAGGCATTTAGTTAGAACTTCTACAATCGAACAGCGCAAGTGCGAGTGAAACACGTGATGAAACAAACGTGCACTGGAAGGTTACGAGATTGTGTTAATTGCATGATTCTGAAAGAAAGAAAAAAACAATACACCAATTCATCTAACAACTGCTATGACAAAGTTGAATTAACAAAAATAAACGCATAGTAAAGATATAAACACATCGCTCTACCAGCTCACTTATTTTCCGTGTGCTCCATGCTTCTGTGTTGATTGTTTATCAAATTTCACGATCGGTAAACTTCAACAACAAAATCCAAAAGTTAATAAGCCGTTTAATTTTTTTAATCAACTTTAACTGAATGAAATATTTTTTGCCGATTATACGTTATGGATTCGTAATAAATTTTTAAAAACGCATAAAAGGACTTAATTTAGTATATATGCATGCATTGGTTCAACAATTTCCCTAACATTATAATAACAAGAAACTCGTTTCATGTGACTTAAAACAACTTTTCCTTTTGATTAATGAATAACAATATTTTCTCATTGAATGTTTTTTTGTAGAAGTTTATTTACCAATCTTTTTTTATTTTTATTTATACATCAAGTATATGTTTTAAAATCTTTTTGCTCAGAGCTTTCTACAATGATATCAGTTGTTCGTTATAATTACTTTTTTCATAATATAACTGTGATCCTCTTTTATTGTTCTGCTCAATACTAAACGAAAAAGAAACTTTACAAAGAAGATTGATCGTTCAAATTCAACGTGGAATACAATGAGTGACAGCACTTCCAAACCATGTATGTCAAACTCAATTTAATGCACCAATGCAGTAATTCATGTATAATATATATTTATGATTGAATTTCTCAAACCGCCCGTAAACGAAATATACACAGGTAGAATCTATTGACTATTTCTATTGAACATAAATGATATTTACATAATACCAAATACGTTTTTGATGTACATTTCATGATTACTTTCATAACACATCATTTGAAGGATTTTAAAGCTCCACAAAACAACGAATATGGATATACTTAAAGATCATATTTCTACTGGATTTTTTTTTATATTTCTTTCCATTTTTGTGATCAACAGAATGGAAATAGTAGGTAAGACTTTGATTTACAAATCGTAATGTATGTATGTATAGTGCACGTATACTCATGAGGGTTTGTTTGTTTTCATACGTTTACACAATAGTTGCTTTATATAAAAGATTCATCTAAAATTAATTAAAAATTTTCAAAAAATTGACGATTGACTTCACATGTTTGAAGGATAAAAAACAGTTTTTTAAGAGAGCCCTTTGTGGCCGAATAGTCTTTAGTCGTTCATTTACTGTATCACTAGCCTGTCAACAACCAGGTTGTGAGGTCGAACCCCTCACGTAGATATATCATGTGCGTTAGACTCCAACCTTAATTGACTAGGATTTTCAGTTTTCCTGCCAAACATCAACGATCAATCATGTTTTAAGAATTAGTATAAGCCTTTTTGAAACTTGTATTATAAATAATACAGTGATTGTCCCCATTGCTTACCAGGTTAGATTTAAGTTTTCATTTTTTTTTATATTAAAATTTATATGTGAAAAGAAGGGATAAATACATTTATTTCTTATAAAGCAAGAACCTTGCAATCTCACTGGATAATAACCCGGATGTAAAGAACACCCCACCCTAGTTAACCCGGGGATATCAAAATCCAAATTTCCGGGAAATCATTTTTTCCAAAATTAAATAAAAAATCGAAAAAAATGCAAAATTCCAAAAAAAATATAAATTTTTGCAAAAATAAAATGTATGTGAAAACAAAGGGCAAATACATACATTCTTGACATAATATGCAATCACAGACAAAATTCAAGACAAAGAAACAATGCTTTCATTGCTTTTCTTCATTTCAAAGAGTTATCCAACACAGGGATAACCCAAATCAAACACCTCACTGCAAGTTTGATTATATTCATCATTTTTGTCCGTTATGACTCCATGATTCTTTTCAAATATTCAATCAACTGTGATAATCCAATAAACGGGGTCTCTATAAAAAAAAATACATATAAACCTTAATATAAAATAATATTAAGGTATATAGGTAAAAAGAAATTTAGAAACAGGTGTCTGTGGACTCGGTGTAGCAATTTCAGCAGTGTAATTGTCGTATTTATGCTTTTAGCTTATGCATTTACGTGCTTCATGCATGCAATTTGCAAGCTAATTTTCAAAGTTACATTATAGAAAGTTTATTGACATACACGAGGGTGTAGAATGTGTTTATAGAATAGAGAAAATTGAGCAAAAAGAACAAAGAATAGAGAAAAATGAGCAAACAAAATAAAGAATAAAGAATAACTTCAAAAATTAAAGAATTGGGTAAAAATATACTGAACTGAATCTATTTTAAAAGAGTAAAATCCATTTTATTCCTTTCTATAATCTTTTTCAATGTTTACCATAAATTGAATGCAGATTTCATAAAGAAACACACATATTTTACAATATTCCTTGTTTTTATTCTTATAATTGATAAAATTTACATTTAATGTTCGGGAAATTTCCCAAAATATATGAAAGTTTTTAAAAATTTGTGGTAAAGATGTATGTGACAACTTTTCGGGAAATGTCCCAAAATCATTATCAACATTATTATTTATAACATATATGTTGGCAAAGAATGTTGACAAACAGATCTGAAACACATTTCGGGAAAAATCCCGACAAAAATAAACTAAGTGAAAAATGTATAACACAGATGTCTTCGGATATTTTGGGATTTATCCCGAAAACAGAACGTATATGCTAGAACTCATGACTAATAATTTCTTTTCACATTTCGGGAAAAATCCCGAAAATATAAATCTATTATCAGACACACACTTGTTACATAGATTTTTTTTACCCATTTTGGGAAAAATCCCGAAATAAAATCTGCAAGCAAATTTTTTAAATTATATGCTACAGATTTCTTAAACATATTGGGAAAAATCCCGAAAAAACAAAATCTATAAGATATTACAACACAGAATTTTGATACATTCAGAAAGTTTTTATGTAAATTTGTTTCCAACATTTGTTAAAATTTTGATTCATAAAAAATATGTTTCTAACTGAAAAAAATATGTATTTTGTTTATAACCATACTTTTCATTACAGGTCCGAAAAAAGTATTTTCTAAGAAATATTAAGGTTGCTCTCTACTGCATCTCTTTTGTCATGCTTTAGTAATTTCCCAAATATAATATCAACCAAATTTGTCCCACAAAAAGGGGGCTTAGGCCTCCTCTAAATCCTCCTCTTATAAGTGGTCGATTTTAAACTGGCCTAAGCATAAACTTTCCATATAAACTGCAAAAGATTCTAAGTTATAAAACCATGATTTAGGGTTCAGGATAAAAAAATCCCCAAGCACATGTATTGTCCAAAAGCTTATTCAACTGCATATAAAATATCCCTGACCTACTTTTAGTGGTTCTCCTTAAACTGAACTTCTTACAAATCTTACAGTGTAAACTAAGGAAATTTTCAAAGTCAATATTCCATTACTGAGAGGCTGGTGAGGAGGGCGGTGCTCTATGGGATTGAGATGTGTTTCCATAACACATTATGCCCTGCTTCCACAATCAGATTTCCATTGTCAGTAACTTATTTGTAATTACTTAAAAAATCGATGACTTCATAATGAACACTTGAATGTACAAAGTTTCAAGTTTATTTGACCATAACATCATAGTAAACTATTGTACACAAAACCTTAACCTACTGTACTGTTTGTACATCTTGAAAACAAAATGATTGATAAAAACTAGTTTTAACTCATTACTTCAAATGCCAATGAAATTTTAAAATAGGAATAAAAAGAAAAAACTCAAACTCAAAAATATTCAATAATGTAGCCTCATTTCATTTTCCTAATTTGCACAATTTTGTTTTTGTCACAGAAAACATGGAAGAAACTTTATCTTTAATTATATTTTTCTAAATTTCTTTGATGTTCTCCACAACAAAATATAACAAGAGTGCACACGCTGAAATGTCTCGCCTTCTTTACTAATTATTGATGTTATGTTGATAGTCCTAAATATAAAGCTTTACTACCACTATCACATAAACTTAACATTAACCAAGAAAATGAGGTCAAGGTCATATAAACCAAACAAGAAATACATGTACACCTTACAATCATTCAATACACTAAATATAGTTGACCTATTGCTTTTGTTTCTAAGAAATAGACTTAACCAAGAAAACTAAACATTGACCAATGAACCATGAAAACGAGGTCAAGGTCAGATGCACCATGCCAGGCAGACATATACAGCTTACAATTCTTCCATACAACAAATATAGTTGACCTATTGCTTATAGTTTAAGAAAAACAGACCAAAACACAAAAACCTAACACTGAGCAATGAACTGTGAAAATGAGGTCAAGGTCAAATAAAACTTGCGAGACTGACATGTACATCATAAAATATTTCCATACACCAAATATAGTTGACCTTTATTGCATATAGTATTAGAAAAAAAGACCACAACTCAAAAACTTAACTTTGACCCCAGAACCATGAAAATGAAGTCAAGGTCAGATGACACCTGCCAGCTAGACATGTACACCTTACAATCATTCCATACACCAAATAGAGTAGACTTATTGCAAACAGTATAAGGAAAACAGACCAAAACAAAAACTTAACTTACCACTGAACCATGAAAATGAGGTCAAGGCCAGATGACACCTGCCAGTTGGTCATGTACACCTTACAGTCCTTCTGTACACCAAATATACAAGACCTATTGCTTATAGTATCTGTGATATGGACTTGACCACCAAACCTTAACCTTGTTCACTGATCCAAGAAATGAGGTCGAGGTCAAGTGAAAACTGTCTGACAGTCATGAGGACCTTGCAAGGTACGCACATACCAAATATAGTTAACCTATTACTCTTAATAAGAGAGAAATTAACATTACAAAAAATCTTAACTTTTTTTTCAAGTAGTCACTGAACCATGAAAATGAGGTCAAGGTCAATGGAAATGTGACACACGGAAACATCGTAACATGAGGCATCTGTATACAAAGTATGAAGCATCCAGGTCTTCCACCTTCTAAAATATAAAGCTTTTAAGAAGTTAGCTAACGATGCCACCGCCACCGCCGGATCACTATCCCTATGTCGAGCTTTCTGCGACAAAATCGCAGGCTCGACGAAAAAGAAAAATACTGTTCTAAAATAAAATACATGTTCTATATAATATTACAAATACATACAATAAAATATAACTACAAATCATAGTAACATGTGAATAAATCTTCATAACATGTGCAATGCTTGTTATATTCAGATGGAATTATTACATGTTAATTAAAATTGATCTGTTTCTTTACTGATGACTTTTTCTCTTCCTTTCACTCCTGCCTATAAGAGAAAAGTAAAATAACATTTAGTAAAATATAACAAAAACGTGCTATTCCGCTGAACATGCTAAATGTAAATATTAATGGTGAAATCAACAATTTTGATCATGTTGATAGGTTGAGACTATCACATTTGACATTTATAACAAAACTTCTTTTCCCCCTCTGACCATTTTGATTACCTTGTGTGACTTTTCACACAATCAACATGATCATAATGTACATAACTTTTCTGACATTTTTTATCAATAAAGATAGTATAGCCAATAATAGTTTTCAAAATTATTTAGTGTAGAGTTGAGTTCTTTTCCCTTTCTCCAATTGAATGTTCCTGGCAACCTGCATTCTTTTATGTTACTTTTTTTCATTTAACAAATACTGATCAAGATTTAAAAGGGGAGCAGAATTGAGTTTTCATGTGGCTTTCCAAAGTCAAGACCGTTCCTGTTACCTAAAGTTGTATCTTAAGTTTTGTGGTTATAAGCATTGTGTATAAGTTTCAGAACATTTGGTTAAGCAAACTTAAGTTTATAGTGAACTAAAATGAATAAACAGCTGTGCCATGAGCACATGATACCTCCGTCGCTTTTTCAAAGAATAAGGTCTTCAACACAGCGAGAAAATCACGCACTATAAGTGTTTCTTGTTTCTCTTTTTTTATATAGATTAGACCGTTTGTTTTCCAAATTTATTTTCACACTAATCATTTTTGGGGTCCTTAAATTAATAATAGCTTACTGTTCGGTGTGATCCAAGGCTCTGTGTTGAAGACTGTACTTTGACCTATAATGGTTTTTCTTTTACAAATTGTGACTTGGATGGAGAGTAGTCTCATTGGAACTCATACCACATCTTCTTATATCTATGTACAAACATACAAGGATAAAACTTAATGCCCTCCTCCGCTACGACGGGGCATAACAAAATGCATATACATATAAAGCAGCAGGACTCTTATTAAGACTGAATATGACAGTACCTTATTCTTTATTCTTTCATCTTATCCCCTGCATGATTGCTGACATGAATTTTGGTTCTTTATTTCTTTTACGTCCAGGCAATTTTGGTATGAAAGCACCATATTTCAAGCTAAGTGTACCCATGATTTGTCCTCGGTGTATTTTGATAAAAATAATAAATGTTGACTGCATCTTTTGGTGTCTCTCTTGTAAAACAATAATGCAAAGTCTATGTGTGTTGTTTAAAATTACAAATCATAGGAATTAACCAGTAACATATATTGTATTGTAATTTCACTTCTGAAACAATCCTGACCGGTGACTGTACAGTTTCAGCATCCTTTCCTTTGTTCTTAATTTTTCTGATATTTAGCTGAAAGCAGGATCAATATATTCATGTGTGTGGCAAACCAGTACTAACGACCAGAGAACCTGAAAAAAAATTATCTGTTGAGTTCTCGACTAGTATCATTTATTTATCCATTAAAGAGATAGAGCTTTGTTAGAATTTTGAAAGGTGGAAGCAGTATAATTACTTTAATACACTAAAATATGTAATAAATAAAACAAGAATGTGTCCATGGGACACGGATGTCCCTGCTTGTAAATATATCTCTAATTTATCCTTTTTTTCTATTAATAAAGTAACATAATATGAGAATGATGAAAGTGACTTGATCAGTGTTTGATGTTAATAAGCATTGGAACAAGGAATTATTTGAATCTGGAATTATTTTGAATTCTGGAAAATTGAAACGAAATTTATGATGAAAACTAACCAAACTAAATAGGGTTAGCCATGCGCGCATGGCTAAGGGGGGTTAGTTAGTTCATACTGAAAGAACAGTGAAAGTAAAATTACCCTTGCATGGCTATCCCTATTTAGTTGGGTATGTTTTCATCATACATTTCTTATCAATTTTCCAGAATTCAAAATTATTCCAGATTCAGATAATTCCTTGTTTTGTGTATAAGTTTCATAACACTTGGTTGAGGCAATGAAAAGCTAAAGTGCAATTAGGGATTTGAACTAGTTTTCAATTACTTCAAGTTCCCTGATATTGATTCATGTTTTTTTTTATTGCAGTACGTACAGTAATAATCTGATGGTTTAAGAGAGCACAATACCACGACAACAACATGTTTATCAAAATATCATTTTCATTTTGTTCTTTCTTAATATTCATCAGACACATTTTCTTAACTAGATACCCCAATGATGATTGACTGTGGCCAAGTTAGGTTAAATTTGTCCCAGTAGTTTCAGAGGAGAAGATTTTTGTAAAAGTTAATGGTCGACGAGGGCCCTTTGGGCCAGGTGAGCTAAACAAGAGGCTCTAAAGAGCCTGTGTCGCTCACCTTGGTTTATGTGCATATCAAACAAAGGACACTCTCTAACATTGTAGACGAGAATATACTTCATGACAAAAATCTCTATTTTGTTGATCTTTTATTACAGGTCTTTTATAATTAGTCTGTTTAGTTTCTCTCTTTCTTCTTTAGTTCTTGCTCAAAACACAAAAGAGGGTAAACAAAAATCCTCACTGAAGGGCAATCACTCCTATTAAGCATGTTAAGAGTGACAGTCTACTAACTATATCGGCAGAATTTAACTTTTAATAGATCTTGCCATGCCTTTTCTTACATTACTCAAGATCTGTTAAAGTGACGCTATCCAAATTTGTACTTGATCTGCGTTTTGTGGTAATATGCATTGTGCATAAGTTTCATAACATTTGGTTGAGGCAAACTAAAGTGAGAAAGAAAATGAAAAATTCAGCAATATTTCCATTTGTAGAGGGGGATAACTCTAGAACGGTAAAAGTGACGCTACCCAAATTCACACTTGATCTGAGTTTTGTGGTAATAAGCATTGTGTATAGGTTTCATAACATTTGGTTGAGGCAAACTAAAGTGAGAAAGGAAATGAAAAATTCAGCAATATTTCCATTTGTAGAGGGGGATAACTCTAGAACGGTAAAAGTGACGCTACCCAAATTCACACTTGATCTGAGTTTTGTGGTAATAAGCATTGTGTATAGGTTTCATAACATTTGGTTGAGGCAAACTAAAGTGAGAAAGGAAATGAAAAATTCAGCAATATTTCCATTTGTAGAGGGGGATAACTCTAGAACGGTAAAAGTGACGCTACCCAAATTCAAACTTGATCTGAGTTTTGTGGTAATAAGCATTGTGTATAGGTTTCATAACATTTGGTTGAGGCAAACTAAAGTGAGAAAGGAAATGAAAAATTCAGCAATATTTCCATTTGTAGAGGGGGATAACTCTAGAACGGTAAAAATGACACTACCCAAATTTATACTTGGTCTGTGTTTTAAGGTAATAAGCATTGTGTATAAGTTTCATAACATTTGGTATAGGCAAACTAAAGTTAGAGAACGGAAACCAATTATCGGACCTACGGGACAGACGGACAAGGGTAAAACTTAATGCCCCCTCCGCTACGGCGAGGCATAAAAAATGTTTCTAAATTTCATAGTTTTCCTGATAATAGGCATAAATAAAACAAGAGGCTCTCAAGAGCCTGAATCGCTCACTTGTATTTCAGAGGAGAAGATTTTCAAATGTTAGCAAACTTGATGAACAAATTGTGTAAAATTGTCTTTAAAGGGCAATAACTCCTTAAGGGGTCAATTGACAATTTTGGTCATATTAACTTTTTTGTAGATCTTATACTTTGCTGAACATTATTGCTGCTTACAGTTTATATATATCTATAATAATATTCAAAATAATAACAAAACAACTGCAAAATTTTGTTAAAACTACCAATTCGGTGGCAGCAACCCAACAATGGGTTGTTCGATTTGTCTGATAATTTCAGGGCCGATAGATCTTGACCAATTAAACAATTTTACCCCATGTCACATTTGCTCTAAAAGATTTAGTTTTTGAGATATAAGCCAAAAACTGCATTTGACCCTTATGTTCTATTTTTAGCCATGGCGGCCATGTTTGTCAATGGATACAAGCTTCGGATACAATTTATAAACAAGATACCCTAAGGAACATTTAGGTAAAGTTTGAAGGTAATTGGCCCAGTAGTTTCAGAGGAGAAGATTTTTAAATGTTAGCAAACTTGATGAACAAATTGTGTAAAATTGTCTTTAAAGGGCAATAACTCCTTAAGGGGTCAATTGACAATTATGGTCATATTAACTTTTTTGTAGATCTTACTTTGCTGAACATTATTGCTGCTTACAGTTTATATATATCTATAATAATATTCAAAATAATAACAAAAAAACTGCAAAATTTTGTTAAAACTACAAATTCAGTGGCAGCAACCCAACAATGGGTTGTTCGATTCGTCTGATAATTTCAGGGCCGATAGATCTTGACCAATTAAACAATTTTACCCCATGTCACATTTGCTCTAAAAGATTTAGTTTTTGAGATATAAGCCAAAAACTGCATTTGACCCTTATGTTCTATTTTTAGCCATGGCGGCCATGTTTGTCAATGGATACAAACTTCGGATACAATTTATAAACAAGATACCCTAAGGAACATTTAGTTAAAGTTTGAAGGCATTTAGCCCAGTAGTTTCAGAGGAGAAGATTTTTGAAATAGTTTACAACGACAGACGACGACGACAGACGACGGACGCCAAGTGATGGCATAAGCTCACATGGGGCCCTTCGGGCCCAGGTGAGCTAAAAAAGATGTACAACAATTTATAAACTAGATACCCTAAGGAACATTTATTTAAAGTTTGAAGGTATTTGGCCCAGTAGTTTCAGAGGAGAAGATTTTTGAAATAGTTTACGACGATAGACGACGACAGACGACGGACGCCAAGTGATGGCATAAGCTCACATGGGGCCCTTTGGGCCGCGGTGAGCTAAAAAAGATGTTCAACAGGTGTTTAGAAATAAAGAAGATAATGCACTCCAAAGAAATTTTTTTATTTATATTAGAGCTCCCATGAGAAAAAACATATGATAGATTTTATAGCAATATGGAAATTAAATATTAATGTACAATGTAATGTATGTGCCTGTTCCAAGTCATGAGCCTGTAATTCAGTGGTTGTCGTTTGTTGATGTGTTACATATTTGTTTTACGTTCATTTTTTGTACATGTACATAAATTAGGCCGTAATTTTTCTTGTTTTCTTGTTTTACATTTGTCATTTCGGGGCTTTTTATAGCTATGTGGTATGGGCTTTGCTCATTGTTGAAGGCCGTACGGTGACCTATAGTTGTTAATTTCTGTGTCAATTGGTCTCTTGTGGAGAGTTGTCTCATTGGTAATCATACCACATCATTTATAAGCATACATCAAGTAAAGTTAAGTACAACATTTAAAAGTGTAGATGTTAATAACATTTCTGATATATCCAATTTTCTTGAGGAGAATATCTAAAATATATGAATTTATGAGGGCTTGGAACCCCGCTAACATGTTTAACCCTGCCACATTCTGTGCCTGTCCCAAGTTAGGAACCTGGACAATCAGTGGTTGTCGTTTGTTGCTGTGTTACATATTTGTTTTTCGTTAATTTTTTTGTATTTTTTTAGAAGGCCTTTAGTATTGAATTGTTTTACATTTGTAATTTTGGGGCCTTTTATATATGACTATGCAGTATGAGCTTTGCTCATTGTTGAAGGCTGTACTGTGACCTATAGCTGACTGACAGACGGAGGGACAGGGGTAAAACAATATGCCCGCCAACTTTTAGTTGCGGGGACATACAGAGTTATACACTTTGTTTAAAATACTATTGAAAAGTTCATAATTTAAATTATTCATGTTCACAGAAGTCTTTTGTTAATGTTTATATTTGTATTGTGTTGTGTTGTTTTGTTTCTGTATCACATATAAGTCTAAGTTTTTGACCACCAAAATTTGCAAAGAACAATTTCAGTATTTCCCTCAAGGACCACCAGGAGAAAAAAGATTTCAAGAACTCTGTAATGGAGAGAAAGAATGGATAGGGTTTAAAGAATAGAGAATATTGGACAAACATGTGCAGAATAAAGGGGCAAACAAATAATGAATAGAGAATATTGGACAAACATGTGCAGAATAAAGGGGCAAACAAATAAAGAATAGAGAATATTGGAAAAATAATACAGAATATTGAATAATAGGGCACAAAAATACAGTAAATTATTAAGACATGATAGAGATAATATAAATGGGCAAAAAATAAATAATGAATAGAGAGAAAAATGGTCTAATATTTAAAGAATAAAGACAATAAGGACCCCCTCATCCAAACCCTCATTTAGCAGAACAGTAAAAATGATAATTATCTACTTTCATGTGGACATTTTCAAACAATTTCATACATTCCCATATCTTTAACTATTTGATCATTACTTACATCTGTCCATTATTATGTTGTCTTTTAGATCACATTGCATTTGAAGCTGATGTTCAATACTTGCACAGTTGTACACCTAGAAAAAAAATCTGCAAAAATAAGATAAAACAGTCTTGTGTAACTGTCATACTAGTTTAGATACAGAATCGTGTGACTTTCTAACAGAAAATTTACATCACATCAATGAGAAATTGCAAAAAGTAAATAAAATTATTCATTTGTCGCTTTCATTGTTGAGGTTACATGAGTGCATTAGCTGCCTTATTTTTACATGTTCACAAATCAGTATTCGGGAGAGCAGTAAATATATCGAGGCTCTGCACCCTCCCCCTGAAATTTTGTGCTCTGAAGGGAACCAGGTGCTTTTTCTAAGTAAGGAAAGAGTTTAAAAATTATCCATCATGTCCTCACATCTACGGTAATTATTAAAAGATGAATTAATTGATCATTGAAATGTGTATCAGAGTCAGAACTTCTCAATGTTCATTTTTTGGGGGAATATTTATTACCCTAATTTAATGTTTTTATTGTCTTTAATTAAGTGACTGACACAGTACTGAGGATAACATTTTCATATCTCTTCATTTATATCTACAAATTCTAATGATGTTTCACATCCTGGGGGATATAAACCCATGAAATTGAAACTTTTCACACATAATTGACTAATAGTAGTAATTGGGAATGTAAACATGTAATAATTTTTTTCCCAGTAGGCAGTTTAACCAAAATTAAGATACAGACAAGACATAATAAATCTATTATACTATATACACAGCATGCACAGGACATGTGCTCCTATCATAATGATGAACTGAGTCTATACTGTCCCTTTAACAAATAATGCAAAGTTAAAAATTTTTGTTATTTAGATTCTGTGAATTTTTTTAATTTTAAACATTCTTAGTTTGTTTGAAATAGATATACGTTGTATACTTAATCATCTGTAGAATTTTTTTATTAATGAAAAAAAAAGAATTAGCTTAACTGATTAATCTATAAAGATTATAGTCGATCCAGGTAATTTCGTACAGGCAGTTGGTCCGAGAACACAGTTTTTTTGTAGTGCATTTCTTTTAGAAAATAAGTGGAAATAAAAAAAATCCAAACTGAGCTTTCTCAATAATATTTTTACAGTGTGTTGTACTACTTAACTTTTGGGACAAATTATATAGAAATTATAGAAAAACTTCATCAGCTCTAACTCAAAATATGGACTATTTTATGTTAAGGGGGTCTTGAAATCTTGACAGCTTCCAAAATCAATGCTAATTTTTAACCTTTTTCAGCTGGAACAAATCACTATTTTACTTTAAAATTCATAATTCAAATTTTTTAACAGTGTAATTTTATCCCCCAACTTGCTATTTGAGACATAAAACATGAAGAAATAAATTTGGAAGGGGGATAAAAAAAAATTGGCAAGTAACACCCTGTCCACACTAGTTAGGGACTATATTCGTGGACAATGAAAATCAAAGGACGATAACTGTGTGTCCAGACCAGGTAATTACTGTACATTTTGCTTGTTTATTAAACAGGGAACCAAATGACTTTCATTTAGGACCAAAAGTGTACGGAATTACCCTGACTGACTCTAATGTAAGATCAACCTCCTCTCCAAGGTAAGATATGTACATGCATTCATAAACTGGGGCTCGAGTAGGAGATACACCCTTATGTCACAAGGCTTTTACCCTAATGATCGAAGCGTGTCTAGAAATTGCTTCAGATTACTTTTAAGCAAATAGAACAGTTTTGAACATTTAAAAGATCCCAAGTACATGTAAATATTAATGACTCACATTTTAGATGACCAACAATGTATTAAGAAATTTTCAAAGAACATATATATCGGATTTAATATTGTCTGCCATGAAATTATGTCCACCAGACACTATTTCACAGTAAATTGTGTCCACGGACTTAATGTTATTATGAAATATTGTCCAAACAATGTTTGCCTATAGTATACAATTGTGTCCAGATGTGAAAAAAATTGTCCTTCAATGAAGGGACAATATTTCATATGAAAAAAGTGTCCTTCATTGAAGGGACAGTATGTCAAGAGAAAAAGTGCCCACTATCAATACCTACTATGTTTACATAGCTTCAATTCTTTATCTAAATTAAAGTTTAAAAATTAGAATATAGGTTTTGTCTCTATTAAAACATGGCATGTAAACTGGAGTAGTGAATTCATACTAAATGTGACCATCACCATGTGTAGTTAAACATGAATTATACAATAAAACATGTACTAATACACACAAAAACAGAAATATATTAAATAGTACTTAAAAATATGAACAATGTTAATAAAAATACATGTATTTTATTTCAATTTACATAAACTGTTATCACAGAGATATGTCTTGCCTTTTTGAAATTTTGATAAAGCAATATTGTTGAAATTAAAATAGCAATACTTTAACATGTAAGTTATGTAAAATATTCAAAGTCAATGAACCATGACTGAAGGTACATGGCTGAACAATCTCCATGGAAATGAGATGTGCTAATGTTAAATTATACAAAAGCTTCTTTTTATGCATACCAAATATAATTGACTTACCTAAGTCATTCCCTTAAAAAAACCTAAACACAAACATTAACTTGGTAAACTATGTAAAAGTTTCAAAGTCAATGAACCATGATGAGGGGGTGGGGCTTTATAATCTCCATGGAAACAAGACTTGCAAATTTATGCCAATAAATTTGCATACCGAATATCATTGACTTAACATTAGCAGTTCATCTTAAACTGATCTAATCAGTATCACAAACTAATACATTTAAACTAAGCAAATGTTTCAAAGTCAATAGACCATGACTGAGGGGAAGGGGCCAAATAATCTCCATGGAAATGAGATATGCCATTATGCTAATACAACTGCATACCAAATATCATTGACCTACAAATGTACCACTAGTGGTTCCCCATAAACTGACTCAGACCTAATCACAAACTAATACATGTATAAAACTAAGCAAAATTTTCAAGGTCAATAGACCATGACTCAGGAGGCAGGGCCAAATAATCTCTATGGAAATGAGATATGCCAATGTTTATACAACTGCATACCAAATATCATTGACCTACCACTTGTGTTTCACCATAAACTAGACCTAATCTCAAACTAATACATTGTTGACGCCGCTGCTGCCGTCGGCAAACCTATAATGTCTCGCTTTTTTACTCTGTCAAGGCGAGCTAAAAATCATGTAATTTTCAAGAATTTTCTCATAAATACTGTTCTTTCTTCATTTGGTATTCTTGTACTTTATATAGGGGTTGTGACAGTTGATGCTGGTGGATACTTTTTGTTGACATCTTTATAGCTAAGATAATTGAATATGCTTTGGAATTTAACACCTTCCATTTGGTGTTTTTATCAAATTATAACAGGTTCTTGATTGGTTTGTTTTAGTAATAGAACATTTAATATAGCCAAAATACGTGAGTGACTTTTTTATGATCTCCCTTTAAAGGACACCTTTTACTGTGAAAAGGTCCTCTTATTGAAAATCAACCTTGCAGGACAGAATTTAATAGTACTTTATCATGAAATAATGAATTGAAGGACACTTTTTCAAAGCATCGGACAAATTAAAATATTTACATTTTCTGTGAAAAAGTGTCAAGGTGGTTGATAGTAAAAAAAGGTATTGTTACTTACACATGTAAATGACTAGTAATGGATTGTTGAGACTTGTTATATGTCAATACATTTTAGAAAATTGTAATTATGGAGAATAATAAAGACTTTTTTACAGTGGGCCCCAAATCCCCAAATACCTGTGTCAGATGTAGGTGAATAGAAAATAGGGATTGTATGCAAGTAAAGCCTAGATTTTTGTAAAAAAAAAAAAAAAACAAAGACTTTTATCTGTTATAGTTTGATCTATTACAGATTTTCATTGTAAAATTTAACTCACTTACAAGTATTATGTCCATGCCAGCATTTATTGTTTACAAAGAGTCCTACACAACCTTAAATCAAATACAATCCAAAGTCAAACACACCCAAAGCCAAAGGCAAAGGTGTACTTGAATAGGTCTATATTTGGTAGTCTTGATTTAATGAATAACTTTATTTCTGAATTTTAAATTGGTATTATTAAACTGTGTAAGAGAAATTATTGCTCTATCTAATAAGCATTGACCAGTTGACATTATTGTGGTCAAGCAGATACCAAAAAATATTCGGAATCCAGATTTTCCCCATACTTGTCAGGTAACCAGAGGATTTCCAAACCGAAGTGGTTCGTCTAAAAAAGGTGGAATTTTAATACAGAATAGGTGACGGGTAACAGTTCTGTGGATGGAACAAACATCCTCACCTTCAAACTGGTAAAGTTCAACTTCTACAAGAGTCCTGAGTTGCAGTGCGATAGAAGAACGTCTGTTATCCAAATGCAATCAGGGAACCAGTTCATGTAAGACAAACTTGTTGTGACCTTGAACTTGAAGATGCAGAGATGCTGAATGAAAACTTGTCAGTACGACAGTAGCCTGTTGTTGAAATGATTTCAATTTATATATATGGTAAACATTTAGTTAAAACAAGTGTGAGAGCAATTTACGTTTAAAGGGGGACTGGATTTTTTGTTTTGAATCTTTGTTTCTTTTCTTTTTTTTTTTTTGAGGGGGGGGGGGGGGGGGGGGGGGGGGGGGAGGGGGGAGGGGGGAGGTGAAAGGTATAGATAACTAATGGACCTACCAGTTGGTTTTCATGGGGGGCTAGGATGAACAATTTTGTCCTTCATTCTATTAGTTGTTATGTATTTTTCACTCTATTCGGTCCTGCCTTTTTTGTTTTGAAATTGAGAATGGAAATGGAGAATGTGTCAAAAAGACAGCAACCCTACCAAAGAGCAGAAACCAGCAGAAGGCCACCAATGGGTCTTCAACATAGCGAGAAAATCCCGCACCAGGAGGCTTGCTTCAGCTAGCCCCAAAACAATAATGTGTACTAGTTCATTAGTTTATCCTGACTTTTTTTTACATACATGTAAATAGTCATCCTGCCTTTTTTCGGCAAAGTGTCTCATCCCACCTTTTGATTACTCAAAACTCCTGTCCTGTTTTTTTTTCGAATTTCATCCTGATTTTTTTATATTATAGTCTAGTTGCATAATCAATAATATTTATTGTTCGAACAGAGTATGTTTAAGTTTATTGAAAAATTCGCCCAATATTTGTAAAATGTATTTGCTGCAAACAAATATAAATTATTTTTTATTTGCATAGTAGAATACTGGAATACATTGTACTTACATGACTTATCTTATTGATATTTGTTAACAATTTTATTAATTCTAATCAGTCAATTTGATAACAATATGAATTTATATCTTTTTCAAGTTTTAAAATTGGTACATCATTTTTTGTTACTCATTCCAAGCTGACTATATAGCTAGTTTATCAAAAAAAAATGTTATTTTTATTATAAATCCATTACAACAATCAGTGAGAATTATCATTTTTAACAATTAATGCTCTAAAACAAATTTTAAGCCAACAACTTTTAAATATTTCCATGTGTTTTCATAAATTTCCAGAATTTATACCATATGAATAAGTTTATTAAAATTTAATACCCATTAAACAATATGTTTTAATAAAAGTACTAGGGAGAACGGACCTAGGGCGAACAGACTCTGTGGGTGAATGAACTCTGGGTTAACAGACCTAGGGGAAACATGTAATCAGGGCAGAGGGATTTTGTTAATGCGATTAAATATTCTTACATGTACAGGCTATACATCAAAGAATATAATGTAATAAAACCTCTTTATCCAAATCTTCATATTGTATATATGTTCCAGACCATATGAGTATTTGGACCGTACACATATACTCGTGCAGTCGGACCATATGTGTACGGTCAGACCATTTGAGTATACTCATACAGTCTAGGACTAACTGGCCCCTATATGTATTTGTACCATATAGGGGTTAATTTTAGACAAACATTTATCAAAATTTTTATTGAATATATACATACAAATTATTATAATTACAATTAGATGAATAAAGTGAAATATATCATCATATCATCAACCCTAATAATCTGGAAACAACTGGTATTATTATAGAGTATCAAAGCTACCTTATTCCTTCCCCCCAAACGTGTCCGATTCCCCCAAACGTGTCCACTCAGAAACGTGTCCTTCCCCCCAAACGTGTCTGATTCCCCCAAACGTGTCCACATGACGTCACTGAACTGCAAAACATATCTAAATGTAAAAGGGCGCCAAAGCGTGTCATTTTTATTAACGCCCAATCATGTCCATTTATATAATAACACCCAAACGTGTCCATCTCACAAACGTGTCCATATGAAGCCTAACTTTTTCCTTCTTTCTCTAAAAGCTCAATCGTGTCCATATCATAAAAATGTCCAAACGTGTCCCCGTTATTTGCATGGTTATTGCTCTTTCATATACTCCTTTTACTATTTCATTGCAAATTGAAATATAGTCCTTTAGGTCTTTATCAAACAAACAGAATAACCCGTGCCAAAATGGGGCCTCCGTTTGGTTGGGCGGGGTGTAAAAGTACGCAGCAATGTCTACAGGTAACAATGTGGATATTGAATCAGATACCTCCTGTATAGGGAGAATACCCGCTATCTGTACATTAAAATCCTTGTAACAACTCTTTCAGGGTGCCGTCGATAGTATGCATCAAGGCAACCATTTTTGTGCCTATACATATTATCTAGTGGCAGTTGGAATTTCCCCAACTTTAATTTTAAACGGCCTCTATTATATAAAGGGGAATAAAAGATTGTTATACTGAAGCCCCGTAAACATAAAGTGGTCTTTCTCTGCTCCCAAAAATTATTATCTAATTCTGAGTCCCGATTAGTGTAAATTCCTAATAACCGTACAAATTTAGGCCCAATCCCAAATTCCCGTCATAAAAATGTTACTATCCTAAAGTCCCGGGAAATAGTCCTCCGTCTCTCATTAAAGAACTTACCAATAATATTTATTGTTAATATGTTGTCGTCCTAAAAATGCATGAAATATTTGCAACTGGAAGTAATGTCTCTTGTTTGTGTGTCTTTAAGTGATGTTCGAAACCCCAAATTTATAATATTAAACCTGAAAACAAGTTTATGATTTCAAGAGCTTTTAAAAAATCAGAACTGTTGAAAAAAATTGGAAAACACCGCTGCAGGAAGCCAGTCGTACATTATCCTCATACATGATTAATATAGTAAGACATCACTGCAGTTTATTAGTACAAAATAATTTATTGAGTAAACGATTAATTTAACTGTACTAAAGTAATGTTGATGTTCGCTCTAAATATGCATCAAATACTTGCCACTAGACATTAAGCAAGCAACAGTCAAGAATTATGTATATGTTGATAATCAATATTGCATACATATAAACAACTGGTGTTGAACAAACTAATGCTAATACATTTTGAATGTTCTTCTTTTAACTCTGTTCCTTTTTAATTTCTGGTAATTGTGCCCAAAATATATACTCCAGGAGTAATGTCTTTTGAATGCGGCTTTTATCTTATTTAGGATCCAACAAAAACCCGACATGTCCCCTATTATGGAATTGCCGTAAATGTTATAGACGTAACTGAGAATATAATAGCGCTTAAAGTTTTCAGACGTTCCGGCGTTTTAAAGTGGACACGTTTTAGCGAATAACAATTATCGGACACGTTTGGGGGTTTTGAAATCGGACAAGTTTGGGCGATATCAACTTTTAAGGACACGTTTGGGGGAAATAGACACGTTTGGGGGAATCGGACACGTTTGGGGGGATGGACACGTTTGGGAGTGTTACATTTATACATACAAATTATTATAATTACAATTAGATGAATAAAGTGAAATATATCATCATATCATCAACCCTAATAATCTGGAAACAACTGGTATTATTAGAGTAACAAAGCTACCTTATTCATTCTTTGCACTAGTTTTCGACGCGTTTTTATTATATTTTCTCATTGTTTTTTCAATGGATTTTTTTTATAGTTTTTGTCCAGTATCTGTGACGGTTTTTGTAGAAAAGTTCCTAAATATACTAAAATATTTTCTTCCAACATTATGTTTATTCCAATAACTTTAATTTCAGTGAGCATAATTAAATCTCATGTATTAACTGACATGCTAAATATACAGGAGCTTAACAGAATAAAGCTGTGATTTATAATGATACTGTTCCACAACATTTTAGGGTCAGAGAAATTTAATGCTTGATTGGGAGCAATTATTTGTGGTCACTTAAACTGAAGAAATTTATTGCTTTTAATTGATTGACCATTTGTGCAGCTGGTAAGAACATAATCAGCTGATTTACTAAAATAACATGAGTAAGTGCCTTAGATTCCTCTTTTTCTTTTATTCTTTAGATTTCTTTATCAATTATTTACTATGGTCAAAAAGTTAAATCTACTATTTTCTGCCTTTGTTATTTATGTGGTCAAACAATCAACTTGCTTAGTCCATTGTACTCTTGAATTTATTTAAAATTGATATCCCTCAATCCATAGGACATACAAAAAAATGTAACATTAAGACATCTACCATGTCTACTGGGAATTGAAAGTAATAGAGAAACTATTTTGATAATATGGCATAATACTAAGATCATATATATTATTATCAGAATTCATACATGTATTTCTATACACCCTCTTCAGAAAATGAAATTTTATCTCATGGTTCTATTAAATTCTAGTAGGTTAATTGGGTACAAGATATTTCTAGAGATTTAGCACAGTATAGTGGCTCAAGGGTACACTGAGTGGAGGACAAACTTTTGAAATACTTAACTAGCAAACAAAACAAGTCTATAGTCTTTACAATGCTTTATACATGTAGTCAACAGTTTATACAAAATCAGCATCCTCTTTCATTTTCATTTTTTATTTTCAACATTTTAAATATGTTTTTGTTAATGCCTAAAAGTGCTGAAATAAAAAAAGTTTAAAAGGCCAATGCCAATTATTAGTATGAAGTAGAAACCTTTATGATATATATGTAAGTATTTATATTATTCATATGTAAGTGGCAATAAGTGAAATTAGGCATTAAGCTTAAATCCTTGTCAATAAGGTAATGCCCAGGTAGACTAAGTCTATCATCTAGAAATGATGTTAACAGTCATTATAAAAAATGTATTCTTAAATCCTGAAAAAATATGTCCAGGCTTTAAATGCAAGTAAATAAAAAGGCATTTATTCAAAGTTAAAATACATTTGGTACATAATCATGATAATAACATAACAAGAACTGCTGGACTTTAAAATGTAAACTAACTGAAATGATGCCACTATTCTAGCCAAGTTAGTCTAACCTTGGATATAATCAAAGCTGTATATTCACCATCCTTGTCACTTTGTAGTTTAGGGATGCATACCAAAAGTTGTGTAAAAATCAATTAAATCGAAAGTCACCATTGAAGCACATTTTGACGTGAGAACTCTAATGTTACAAACTTTTGTTAGTTTTTTTATTAGCTCACCTGGACCAAAGGGCCAACTGAGCTTTTCATGTCACTTGAGGTCCGTCGTCATCGTCCGTTGTCGTCAGTTAACTTTTACAAAAATCTTCTCCTCTGAAACTACTGGGCCAAAGTTAACCAAACTTGGCC